AGTGATTTGGCTTATATCGTGATATATATCGTTATCGCCTGAAATGAAAAAAACATTGTGATATGAAAAAATCTTATATCGCCCAGCATTATCACGACCGCAACAACCGTGAAAATAGTTGGAAGGACTTTGCTGCTCAATCACAGCTGATCATGTTTTTCATTAGCAATTTAGCAAAGACGATGGTTGTGGTGTGCGTCTGTGTGAGTGAAAGACAGAGAGGGAGAGACAGATTTTGTGTTATAAGCTTTATGTTATGGACGCACAGTGTGAGACCGACGAACTTCTCACCCCTGCGAGTCAATCGTACAGTTTGAGCAGGAGCTGAATAACGTAACTGATAAAAATCACAATCACAGCTTAAGCGAAAACCCGCAGTGATCCCGTACTAGAGCAGGGCGATATGACCAAAAATATTTATCACGATATACATTTGAAAATGTGTGATAACTCCTCTTTTAGTCACTAGATGGTGCTGTTGAGTGTTTTGCTAGTTCCTACAGACAGGTTTATAAAACAAAGACTGAGACATTAGAGAAAAATCAGAGCATTTAAAAACATCTGGACTTATTTGGGATTTATTTTTATTTTTCAAGAACAAAAAAAATCTCATGAGCTGAATAAATGTAGGTTTACCTCTGAGGCAGAATGAGGAGGAGGAGGAAAAGGAGGGAAGCTGTGACTGGTTGTCTTTTCTGCTCCTACTGTCTGCTGGCTTTCTTTCTTCTCCTCAGCTTCTTTCTCCACTTTGCGCTGATCACCAGGTCTCTCCTTATCCTGCAAAAACACAGGAACAGAGACACCATTATCTGGATAATCGATTGGTCAGCAGGCTGTGATTTTCTGTTTACCTCTAATTTGGAACCTAACCTGCTCCTTAGGCCTATTTCATACGTTTCCAAGATGATTTACCCCAGTAAGACGTGAACCACCTTCACAGTACAAAAAACCCAGGGTTAACCCCGATAAGCCAAAATTATGCTTATAATACAGGCCTCTGGTCCATAACTTGCAACTGTCATCTGAGCCAATGTTGGGACTTTTAAAGCGTTTTCTATTTATAAAGACCTCCTCAATGGCCATTTAGGCTAAACAGAGGAATTAAGTGACCGATGAACAATTAAATGACAGAAAAATAACCTCTATCTGGTCTTTAAGTCTGACGTCATCAGCCGTGTCAGGCCCAAACTCTGCTTCAGGTCCCGAAGTCAAATGAACACTGCAGCATCACTGAGAGTTAAAAACTGTCTAAATTCTTTCATCTTTAATAAACAGTGTGAGAAATGTGCATGCTTACTCTGGACGTGGAAATCTGCTAACCTGAACACCTAAAATAAATCCCAAGCTATCTGATCAGCACTGGAGGAGGAAGAAATGAACGATCGTACTTACAGCAGCGAGCCAGCCGAGTTTTTTCTCTGAGGATGGCAGCTGTTTGCCCTTTAGCTTCTCCAGAACTTCCTGCAGAGCTTCAATCTAAGGAGGAAAAGAGATCACGTTAAAATCTGACTCAGAAATCAGAAGAACTGAAACCAACATCATATT